TATATATATATATATATATATATATGTGATATATATATGATATATAAGCTCAGTGTTTAACTAAAAAGACTAAACAAATTTCTTCAAAATATATTTTGTGTGTGTGTGCAGAAGAAAGTAAGTCATGCAGGTTTGGAACAACATTAATGATAATTTCAGTTTTTGGCTGAACTATTTCTTTAATTATGGCTAGAATTTAACTAGACTCCTTTTGAAAAAAAGGATCATAACAGCTTCATTAATTAAACATTCACACAGATTTAGATGTAAATAATGTAAAATGTAATCTTTAAAAAGTCTTGGCATGCTGTATATTAAAAAAAACTTTCACAGAATCTTTCTCAAACGAAGCATGCAGAATAAATTAAGGTCAATATATAATAAAGATGTCTTTTCACTTAGAGGGAAAAAATTAGGATGAACAATGAACATAGTGTAAAACGCTGCATAAAACCTGGAAAATCTTATTCATGATGAAACAAACTGCCAAATTGGAAGAACATGTCCCTTTTGTGTGTTTTCACTGGTTTCAAATTCCTCTCAATTAATGATAATTGTCTTTAGATCCTGCTTTAATGATTGTAATTGGGAGAGCTTGTCTGTTTAGAAGTAAGCTTTCAAGCATATGCAACAGCATTTAAACCTCTTTGTCGCCACCAACTGCATCTGCGTTGTGCACTTTCCCCTTGATCTTCATACTTAAAGCAAGAAACTATAGAAATGTGTAAAATAAAGGAGCGGGACGCCTCAAACCATCGGATACACTTTGAGTGCCGTGAGACAGAGTGATAGCTTAAATCCATTTGTTGGCCCTGCTTCGTGTTTTGTCAACAGATCGCACTGGGTTTTTGTCAATGGATGTTGACAGAAAATCAAAAGCGCCACAGTGGCGGCAGCCCATAATGGTCACTTAGCTCTGATTTACACATCTCTTATAAAGATCTACGATTTGCTAAACAATCAGTCCTCTCACAAGAGCTTGTTATTTTGCTTCATAATAACTGTTAGTGCTTTTCAACATCCCTCCGTGGACAGGATGGCGTTTGCGCAGGAGAGCGCCTCTTATCTTTAGTGGAATGAATGCGAGCTGAAAGGATAATGTGCCAGTGATTATATTTTGGAACGTCCCACTGCTTTTTCCCCCCAAATTTCTTCCCTCCTTCTGAGTTTGTGCTGTTGTCAGTTGTTATTGAGAACAGGAAATATCTTCACGATGCATCTCCGTTAAAAAAAAAATCAAGGTGGCACAGCGTGGAGTCTTCGAAAGCTGCGCTGCGGATTTCCACCCGCTCTATAATTTGATCAAAAGGAGATTTGCTAAAGAGTATTGGTGCGAGTACGCATCCGTGAAAGATTCTCACCTAAACTCAACGTATCAGGGTCTGCCCAAGAGTGACGTTTGCGTTGGAGGGTCTTTAATTTTATAATATAGGCCTCGATATTTCAGGCTCTCTGCGTATGCTAGACTGTCAGCGCTCCAGAGAAGTTTTTTAAAGTTAAAACGGTCCAGCCAAACGAGGAGGTAGAACCGCGCATCCTGCATGGAGAGCCGGTCTGTGGAGGGAAGATTCCACCAATAGCGTCTTAAGAGTTTTAGAGGTAGGCAGGCCTTAGGTTTCATTGTGCAGGGCTCTAGCTCCAGGCTTAGCCTCTGACGGTCCTGTTATGCATTTTTGTCAGACAATTGACCGTTTAACCATCTTTTACCGTCTTTTTAGCTCCTTGACGCCTCGGCTGTTATTACCGCATTGTTCCTCTTCCCACCATGGTGATGTGTGAGCTCCTCTTGCACATGTGCAGCACTTTTTCCGTGGGCTTTTCTTCTGTGAGGGCGATTATGGCTTTTTTTTTTCACTTCTCTTTCTCTCTCTTCCTCTGCAGAATACCGGCTCTGCTTTTACTGGAAAGTCAGATGCATACGCATGTTGCCATGGCAAAGCTTAGAATATATATTTATATATTATATGTGATTTCTTCTGCTTTTGGCCTCGATTGCTTTATCTCGCTGGTGTAGAGCCTGTTGCCATGGCAAAGCTTAGAATATATATTTATATATTATATGTGATTTCTTCTGCTTTTGGCCTCGATTGCTTTATCTCGCTGGTGTAGAGCCTGTTGCCCTCAGGGCCAGATTTAGATGTGTGTGGGTCTTCAAGGGTTTTACTGCAGAAAAGCTGTTTGGATTGGGGCTGCTACGCTATACAAGTGCGACCGAATTGTGTCATTTCTGGTTTTCTACTTCGTGCCGGAACCAAAGGAAAGTCCAAAAGAAGAGCAAAAAATACAAGACAAAAGCTGATGAAAACAGGCCCGATTGGATTATGTCAGACCTGGCATATTCCTAGTTTTGGAGAAAGTCTTGGTTTGCCGTCTTATCAGCCCTTGCCTCCCAGCTAAATGAATTAAACAGGCACAGCCAAATGATTGTCCTTGCTTTGAGTTTGAAAGTCTAAGTCTCACATTGCAATGTTAACAA